ACAGCACAAGCGAGGGGAGAGGCAGGCAGAGGGAGAGGGACAAGCAGACTCCCTCCTGAGTTGGGAGCCCAACACGGCTCAGTCCCAAAACCCTGAGATCACGACCTGAGCCTAAGTCAGATGCTTAACCAACTGAGCCACCCAGGTGCTCCTTTAAGATTTTATTTTTTTTTTAAAGATTTTATTTATTTATTTGAGAGAGAGAGAGAATGAGAGATAGAGAGCATGAGAGGGAAGAGGGTCAGAGGGAGAAGCAGACTCCCTGCCGAGCAGGGAGTCTGACGTGGGACTCGATCCCAGGACTCCAGGATCATGACCTGAGCCGAAGGCAGTCGCTTAACCAACTGAGCCACCCAGGCGCCCAAGATTTTATTTTTAATAACTTCTTTTTAAAGATTTTATTTATTTATTTGTCAGAGCGAGAGCGAGCACAAGCAGGGGGAGCGACAGGCAGAGGGAGAAGCAGGCTCCCTGCTGAGCAAGGAGCCCGATGTGGGACTCGATCCCAGGACCCTGGGATCATGATCTGAGCCGAAGGCAGACGCTCAACTGACTGAGCCACCCAGGTGCTCTAAGGTTTCATTTTTAAGTAATCTCTACACCCAGTGTGGAGCTCAAACTCACAACCCCAAGATCAAGAGTGTCACTTGCTCTACCGACCAAAGGTAGCCAGGAACCCCTCTGCAAACCTTAATATATAAAGTGACAGTGAAAACTTTTTCTTTTGCTCTTCAGACGTTTTCAGTGCTTCGATGTGTGGCCTTGTGTGAAGTGCTAATACAGGTCACTTTTTATAAAGGTACTAATAATTTTGTTTACTGTGTCAGGAACAGCACCGAAACATTTCAGCAAAACATCTCCTAAGCCAGGAAGGAGAGCCCCGACCCTGTTTGGATCAGGTCTGCCCCCGAGCCTGAATGATGACTGCAGAGTCAAGGGAAGCCACAGGTCTGTCCCCTCAGGCTGCCCAGGAGAAGGATGGGATTGTAATAGTGAAGGTAGAAGAGGAAGATGAAGAAGACCACATGTGGGGGCAGGATTCCAGCCTGCAGGAGACGCCTCCGCCCGACCCAGAGATTTTCCGCCAACGGTTCAGGCACTTCTGTTACCAGAACACATTTGGGCCTCGAGAGGCTCTGAGTCGACTGAAGGAACTTTGTCATCAGTGGCTACGACCGGAGATCAACACCAAGGAGCAGATCCTGGAGCTGCTGGTGCTGGAGCAGTTCCTTTCCATCCTGCCCAAGGAGCTCCAAGTCTGGCTGCAGGAATACCGTCCCGATAGTGGGGAGGAGGCCGTGACCCTTCTGGAAGATTTGGAGCTTGATCTATCAGGACAGCAGGTAAGAAGAGATGAAACCGATTGTGTGTAAGCAGCGCATGGGCTTTGAGCCTGGAACAAAGAGCAAGTTACAATTTAAAGCTGGCCGTAGGGCGCCTGGGTGGCTCAGTCATTAAGCGTCTGCCTTCGGCTCG